ACACACACACACACACACACACACACACACACACACACACACACACACACACACACACACACACACACACACACACACACACACACACACACACCAGCATGCCACGAGATAACCAACATAACTACACACAAGGTGGGGTAAGCCTCCGCATGTGTGTGTGTGTGTGTGTGCGTGTGTGTGTGCGTGCGTGTGTGTGTGGGAGGGGTCCTTGCAGGGGGATCCTTAGTGCTGTCAGGGGGGGTTTGTAAATATGCAAAGAACCAGTAAATTAAATCAAACTGCCAAACTGTCAATTTCGAGGTAGCGTGACTAGTGCATGAAAATGGCATCACTGGAAGGTGTGGAGGCTTCGGCGGCCCCTTATCCCTGGGCTTTTCTGGCACGGGTTCAGCTCTGCGCAGAGAGGTGGCTAATTCTGCATGCAAATTTCAGTCAATAAGCTCCGAGCAAGTCGTCCCAGGATATTTCAAAGGATCTGACAGTAGGCTCTCCCTCCTCTCTCCTTCTCTCTATCATTCTTGCTCACATTCTTGTTTTTGGCTTCTGAATACCAACTAGACAGACAATGAAATTCAATCAGCCGTTTGCTTACGGTTTTTGCATATGCACGTTGTCCCCTAGATGCCGTATCCCCACCGTTCGGACGGCCCGTCCTCTCGGCTCAAACAGACTGAAAATAATGAGGGGGACAGAGAGGGGCATCATTACCTATCTGCGCTCATGTCCTCCCACTCGTCCTTAGTGGGGCTGAGGTTACGGCCGTGCCAGCTGATGGCTTGATTGGAGCTGACTGCTGGGTGGTGGTGCGGGCGTGGAAGGCCTCTGTGCCAGGTTGTCTTCGGTTTGACCTTGGCGCTGATGTTGTTGGCGGTCCCGGCCGGCCGCGCCGGGCCTGCTGCTCGGTTCCTGTGGAAGTCCCTGGCTGCTCTGGCGATACCCAGCTCCTGCTTCAGCTTCAGCAGGTGATTGTTGAGCCTGGCGATTTCTTTCTGAGCCGCGGCCAGGCGGGATTCCAGAGCCGTGACCTCACCACGGTGCTGCTCGTCACGGACCCGGGCCTCTTCCTCCCGGTCACCTTCCTGGTCCCTGAGAAAGTCGACGGAGGCTTGGAGTCGTCGGCAGTTGTGGGCCAGGTCTTCGTTGGCCTGAAGCAGCTGCTGCCGCTCTTCCCTCAGCGCCGCTGTCTGCTGCTCCATCAGCACCAGCCTTTGCTCCAAATACTTCATCTGGAAGAACCAAACACAAAAAGTTGTAAATTCACTAGAAAAAATGTTTATGCATAAAGGCAAACATTAATGATATTAAAACTATAATTTTATCTGACATTGTAGAGTCAGAAATTTGCAAGAAAAAAAGATCTTAAAAGAAATCTATGGAGGATCAAAAGGGATAAAATTAATTAACACATAAAATAAATATGTGTATAAAATTCATTAAATTATTTATTCAGTAGACAATTTCTAAGATACATCACCAAATAAATACAATAAAAACTTAATAAATAATTATTAAATGTGTATTTAATTATTTTGATTTTGTTATTAATGTGTTTTTTATTTAATGGAAAAACCACAATCGTAAAGCTGTTTTTGTGTGTAGATGAATATTGACAAAGTTTTGTTCAAATCTGTAATGGAAACACAGCTGTTGATAACCACACTTCATTAAAGTTGTAAAGAAAAATCACCAACATTTGTACTTTCTACAGTTTGAGACATCGCTCCAAGAGAGCATGACTGAGCAGATAACAGGAAGGCTGAACAAGTGAGAAAACGCAGGTTAACATCAACTAGCTGTGATTATTGTAACATTGAATATTCATTAATATCACAGTGGCATGTGTTTCTATTATTGTACAGCAAAATGTTAAACCACTGCATCCCAAAATGAATCTATTTATTGTGTCATAACTTCTAAAAAAAACTGAAAATCTCTCTTTGTGAAGTCAAATTGTGGTGAAAATGTTGTTTTTTCTGCAGAAATAACAGAATCTATGAAGACGGACAGTTTGGCATTAAGTCTGTAATCAGCGCTGCTTTATGTTTCTGGGTGGGGGTGTGGACATTTGACTGCCGCGCCCTGATCTGCCTTAAACAGACAGCAACCAGCCACTCTTAGTCTTTTTGTTAGATCTTCAATGGAGACTGTTTAAGAGAACAGGGGCTGCCTGCTGGGTGTGTGCCTCCAGGCATTTTCCCCCCCTTTATTTATGTTCTCACACTCTTCCTGCTGGTAGAGCCCGATACCTTTCAAACAAAATTAGACAGCTATCACCAGCTGTGATGATTCACTGTCATGAAACCAGAACCGAAGCATCGCATGAACTCATGCAAGCAAGATTTTAAAACAAATGCAACCTACCAACACCTCCACTATGAAATTTAGAACAAAATACTATTTTTCTGGTGTAATATTTCTGGCCACTTATTATAGAGTTCTTCTTGGTAAATCTGAGAAAAACAAAGTACTTACCGGCTGACACTTGACTTTGAAATAACCACAAAGTGATAAAAGACCTTCAAATCTTCCTTGAAAGAGCAAAGCCAAATTTTCCAGGAGACATCTTGCGGGAGATGGTTCTGTCGGGTTTCTTTTATTGGTAATGACACGGAGCACTTAGCGATGGCACGGTGCCGTACCTTTTTAAAAGACTGTTTCAGCCGGCTCGAAGAGAGAGGAGGTTTGATCGGAGTGCTGCTTTTGACCTGCTGCTCCTCTGCCATTTTCTGAAGCAGCTCTGCAAAGAGGAACAAAGCTTCTTATTGTGACACTCTGTGTCAAACCCTGCAGAGGCAATCAATAGAATTATAATAAAAAGGACACATTAAATCAATTAACATTAGTACAGTCTAATTTCCTTCCTCAGGTCTGTGGGGTTTTTTTTCTTTCTTTAGTCAATCACGGCTTAAATCAGCTCCTGCTTTAAAGGCAGGGTTCGCACACTTTTCCCACCTTAAATTTCAAGCACTTTTCAAGCATTTTCAAGGTAAGTTTTCAAACTTTTCCAGCACCACACTGTGAAAACTGAATACTGTTTTAATTCATTATTATATGCCATTTGTTATTATTATATTTATGTTGTAGTATTGTACAGTTTATAGAAGAGGTAAGGTAAACTGAAATATTACGTTTTGAAACGTCTCCCTCACACACTCGATGCGCCTGCCAGGTCCGAGAGGAAAACACTAATTTAACAAAAGGGACATGCAATTTCATTAAGTCACTGAACCAGTAGGAATAATAAATATTCATTACACTGCAACAAGATTTTTGGCATTCAGCAAACAGAAATAATTTTTGTCATTTCAAATGACCTAAAACAAGAAAAGTTTAGTTTGATTTAACTTCAGGCGGTGAGAAGAAAAATGGTGATTGAAAATATTTGGTTTCATCATTTTCCAAATTGAGGCTTTTCATCAAGCGTTAGATTGCACTTAATTGCAAAACTGAGCAACTTGAATATGAAGTACTTTCATTCAAGGAATTTATACCAAAATCAAGGACTTCCCAAACCTTGAAAACACGGATTTCAAGCATTGACCCTGTAAAAGTCTCATCATCTACAGGCCCTTTAACTAGAGATTATCAGGAAAATGTTTTATTTTATGGCTTGTAAGGAAGTGAAAAAACAGTCTTCAAAGGCACACAGTAGTTCTGACTATGTGCAACTTTTCTCAGGGGATCTTAAACAAACCAGGAGAAGTGCTTGAATCCCAGGTGAGCACATTGCCCCAGGCTGCGTTGCTTTGTACTCCTCTGTGTTTCCTCAGAGCACCGCTATTCTCCACAGACATGCATGCTGCCTTATTGCGGAAACATCAATGGTAGCAGTGGCAAACATCTGATTTCAGGTGATAAAAACAGAATGAATGCAAAAGTCTTAGGGCTCAAGGGCTTTTAATGCACAAAAAACACACACTGTTAAAGCTTTTGTGTCACTATTTGAAAGGCAGCATCTACCTGCCAAGGTGGAAGTAAATGCAAAGGGCAACACAAAACAATCTAAAACTTTCCACCTTTCCTTCTCCGTTTTTAAGGATTTATGACAAGACGACCAAAATAATTTGTACAATGAGCTGGAAACATTAAATATTCAGGATCTTGACTTTTCAGGTCAGTTGGATTTTTTTTGAGGGAGCAAGAGGAGGAAAAGTGAAACTATAGAAGGAAGATGGCTACGCTGTGGAAAAGCTGCCGCTCCCTTTCTTTGCGTTGACGCCTTGCCCAGGGAAGTTTGTTACATTGAATTAGCCTGGCCTTTTGTCTTCCTTACGTGTCACATTAAATCACACAGAGCACCAAATAGGACAGGAGGGCTGCTGTGTTCGTTGGGTACATAACCAGGCTGAGAGACAATTACCCGGCTGCCGTGTTAGTGGCATGGGAGTTGGCACCTCAGCACTACCTTGATAAGAAGACGTGGTGGCTCCCTAGTCACCTGCAGTTGAAGGAGGTTCTGGCACCGCCGCATACATTAACGTCCCTCCCATGACTCCTCACAGGAAGCAGCTCAAAGGCCCCGTTCCTTTCATCTGCCCCCTTTCGTTAGCGTGATCTCAGAGTGAGTGCTTCAAGCCCACATCCATCTGATTGGGTCGCACAGGTTCCTCTCCACTAAAACGCTGTGGCCTTTCACTGGGTTTTGTAATAATCTTCCAATTGCCACAGAGTCCTTATCATACGGGTCTCAGTTAACTTGATACAGTAATGAGCATATTCTCTAGATAAACATGTTCAGGCTGTAAAGTTGCACAAACATTGAGGTATTACAGAAAATGTAAGCTTACATGACTTCACAAACACCAAGGTCATTACATCCTTGCTGCTCTGCAAAACACAAAATCTTGCCAAGTATTTTTATTTAGCTTCTAGTGCAAATATCTCGGTACACTTGGAATAAGACAAACCTAACTTACAAATAGCTTTTCAGCAACATATAGGAGCTTGTTTTAAGTAAATAATTTCTAAATATTCATTAAAAAGTACTACTTTCATGGGTAGACTGGCAGAAAATATGCTTGAATGCCACTTCTCTGGACCAGCCAGGAGACGCAGCATAACTGGGGGTTCGTCCGGGATAATATTTCTCGACAGAGTTTTTTGCTTTGAATCAGAACTTTTAACTGGTCTGAACGGCTTTTCCCAGTCATTCCAGCTGGGAAAAGGGAATCAGAACCAAAGGTCCAGAAAACCAGTTCGGTTCACCAAGAAGATCCGGACCACAGTGAAGTGATTCTGCTTAATTTGCTGATGCGGTTTTCTGGGCGGGGTTAAATTTAAATGTTTAATCAAGTTAGATGATATTGTGAATTTTCAATGTTCTTACTTGTAACAGCAGTGTTTTCTGTGTTCTCTGGTTTGTTTTCTAACAAACTAATTAAATCTTTGGGAGACAGACATTTGGGTGATTAATAATTAAAGTAATTCTTGCAAAGAGCTAAATTATCATTTTACTGGCGATAAATATAAATATTTTGATGAAATCACTTCCATTTGATTTCAAATTATGTGACTGATTACATGAATATGATAGAATATTTATGTACATAAATAAAGTTCAATATGTCACATCAACTGCTAAACTTTTCAGAAAAACTGATGCAAAACTGTCTTTTTGTTTTTCTGCCCGGCTTCCTAACAAGCCCATCAATAAGAGCAAATTAGTTAATTAGTTCTCTCCTTTGTATCAAATCATTGCAGCGTAAGACAAAGTCGCTAGTTGTGGAGAAAATGAAAGTGATCTCGAACAGATCTGTTGTTGAAGTAATTAATTAAATCCACAGGATGAAGTGGTCAGCATGTGACGGTGTCACTGAGTGGATTAAAAGAGATGTGCTTTTTAACACAGAGAATGATGTATGCAGACAAGGCTGACGCTGTTTGAACTCCCAATCAATGGGCGTGGAGTTGATCAAGTCTTAATTGACTTGCTCTGTTAATTCCACAGAGGGGAGTTGTATTAATTCTCCTGATTAATACACATTTCCCAGAGGGGAAGGGCTAGCTACAAGCATGCACTTCACCATGAGAGGCGACACTTTGACACAGTAATCCTCAGTTTTTGTCTGCAGAGGCTTGGTTAAGGATTTAGAATGAATTAACTATGTAGTAGAATAATTCAAACTAATATAGCAAAAGCTGTGGACCTAAATACTCAAACAACAATAAAAACAAGAGGAGCTGACCTTGATGATCATTAGTGAGACACATGTGGAGCTCCTTCGCTGTGGTTCGGTCCATAGCAGACTGGACTCGCAGCATGTCCAGCTCCTCTTCTAGGGCAACTCTGCAGAGGAACAACAACTTTTTACTTATTTCAATCTGTGATGAGGATGAGAATATTTTGGATTACAGATGGGATTGTGTAGAGAGTAAGAGAGATAAAAAAAGTATTGAAAGCACAATGTTTTGTCTTCAGAAAGACCATGAAATTATTTTGTATTTTGAGCAAACATCAGGTGAGAGCAGTGATGTTTAGATGTTAGAACAGCTGCTTTGAATGACAGTGGTTGTAATGCCTCACTGCCGCCACATGAGGGCAGTAATGTGCAAAGTTGTTTGCCATTAAGCAGCAAACATGAACTTTGATTAGTTTAAGGCCCAATACGGATTATAGTCTATTATCACGAGTTATATATTAGAATATAGTAACGTCATTTAATCTGAATTTCATGACTAAATAAATTTTATTGATATTCATATTCATGACTAAATACTGGAGAAAAGAGCAAAAACAACAATTCAATTTACATAACCAGTTTTTAGGCCTTTAAACATTCTGCAATGGATTATTGTAATAATAAATTAGAATTCTTATTTATATTCTTTATCACAATAAGGGTACACAATAAATCAGTGAAAAGCGGCGCTCTATTGACCTGGTTTAAACTAAAAGTAACCAGTTTAAACTAGCAGAGCAGTGACTGCAGTTAGATGGCCAATGACCAAGGTCATCATAGTTGACTAAAACTAACGAAATAACAGAAACTGATAGAGAAATTATTTCCATTAACTGAAATAAAAATAAAAAAAAAACATAATTAATGGAGAAAAATTAACTAACTGGAACTACATTGTTTTTATAAAACTAAAACACATTGGAATTAGGGATATAATATCCTTTGTTTTCATGTTTACCAGTCAATTTTAAGCCTTTCGATGTGAAACAGATTTTTTTCCCCCACACATCAGCTGTCGCCAAATTATAATCCTCCTTACATTAATCCACAGAAAGGTGACAGAAAAAGTATTTATCTAAACGTATTTATCTATTGTTGAACATCCACCTGATGTTCAGGTGGATGTTCAACAATAGATAAATACGTTTATTGAAAATGTTTTCTTCTGTTGAGTATTCACTACTCAATGGTTATATTGATAAGCACAATGCAATAAACTGATGTTTTTGAATTCTGCACTGGAAATTTGACCAAAGTATGAAAAAACAAAAACTACAACTAATAAAACTAAATTAAAACTAAATGTTTAACAAATAAAAACTAAATATTTAACTAATGAAAACTACATTAAAACTAAATATTTAACTAATAAAAACTAGCAAACACACTCTAAAAACTAATTAAAGTTAACTGAATTAGAGAAACAAAAGGTCACAATGAAATAAAACTGAACTTTAATGAAAACCCTAAAACAATTATAACCCTGCGGATCACTGATCTTTAAAAAGCCTACGTTACAGATTTTGGCCGATATCGAGTTGTTTGTCTGGAAGGTTGCTAAATATTGCGACTAAGTTGCTAAGTTGGTAATAGTTGGGTAACCGCTAACAGCTAACCGCATACATGCAGACGTGATCTGAGGGGCGGTCGGTCATTGGGCCAAAAGAGGACAGTGGCTGATTTTTAGAGCTTTGCAGAAGCAGATAAGATCAGTTTCACATGCAAGTATCGGCCAATTTCCACAAATTAAAGAAATCTTAGCTGATTTATCATTCCACCCCAAGTTAAAGCACAAATACTTTATGACTTCCACCAAAATCTCCAGAATTTGAAACTTCTCCACGTTTTCATGCCAGTTTTCCAACACAAAAGAGGAAACAACAGCATGACGAGGAAACCATCTAATTAAAATACTTTTTAACTCATCTGGAAATCAAAGTGACAAGCAACATGAAACGGTGAGGAAGCAAAGTACGCTGTGCAATGAGAATGTGTGTGAGTGTTAACAGGGAGGGAAAAAAACCAAGGTGTACCCAATTACCTCTGTGCAATTAGCTTGATTCCTGCTAAAGGCTAATTATGTGGAGCCATGCTCTCGTCTTTGCACTTTCAAGTTATTATTAGGACCCCAACTGTAGTCTTTTGAGGATACACACAGGCCCACGGAGACAACCACACCTGAAACACACACCTAATTTCCCTCCCCTCTGCTCCAGAGAGTCGGAGAAAAACACAAGAATCAAACTCCAGCGATTCTAGTGGCATTCTTCCCGAAGTTAACCTCATTACAAATAGTAGGCCTTTGCTTGGATTGACGTCTGATGATCCATTTGGACTGCAAAAGTTTAATTTTCTTACAGAAATCAAGAGAGTTTTTATACAGACTGCAAGTCCAGATAATTACCTCAGAGATGTTTCTGCTGTTGCAGAGGGAAGAGAAGTAATAAGTACATTTTAGCCCACACAGTCCAGAGTCCTGATCTTCTGGCTGCAGCCTAAATAAGTACACAAATGGCTCTCCCCACAGAAATGAGCAAGCAGATGGATATGTGTCGCTTCTTTATAGATTTTCCTCCATAAATGAACTCAAGTCGATGAGACGCCGGCACTGCCTTATGTGTCCGGGCTGTTAATGGGACCAGTGAGCTGAAATATGCAGCATGTAGAGAGAGCCTGTTCCATCTCATGTTTCTCTTTTATGCCTTTTCAGATGCTGATAGTATTGATGCTGAACACAAGTTCATGTGCCAAACATTGGGCTGCGCTGAAGGATAAGCACAGTTTCCCCAACAGAACAAAAGATTGGATTTCAGATGGAGTTCATTGGTGCAGGTCGTCACGTTTCCCAACGTCACATTGTGGAGATGGAGCACCACTGCAACCTTATTTACTAACACCTGGGTGGAGCAGCGATTGCTTTGCCTGTGAGAGATGGGGAATTAACCAAGGCAGAGATGTTCTGAGAATAATAAACACTACTGAGATGCAACATGAACAATTAAATATGTAAAAAATGATTACCGTATTTACCAGACTATAAGTCGAAGTTTTTTCATAGTCTGGCTGATCTTGTGATTTATTATACGTTTTGTTCCCTTTTCTGCAGGCGGGCCTGTTGGTGCAACCAACCCCTTCAATGAATGCAACTTGGAGACCTTTTGTAATTTGAGTTATAACTATTGGTGTGAAGCAGCATTTTGTTGTGGTTTGGTACTGAAATACAGCGGACCGCCTAACTGAGTTTCTATAGGCAGATTGATTTTGTTGATTATATCTAAAATCAGAAAATTTAGCTTGGGAAGCTGAAAAATTCAACGCAGCGGAACTTTGCACACTATTACATGCTACTTGCAAAGCAGCCAATCCGGGAGCGCCATCCATTTTGCTGTGTGCTGATTGGCTGAGATACTGAAGACCGTAGATTTTAGCTTCTGCTATAATGTCAAGATGGCTTCCAGTGTGCATACTAATGCATATTAATTATATTTGGGCTTTGAACAATGCCTGGCCAAAAAGCAAAAGTTGACACCTGAATTTATCTGAGCTTCCTATTGTATCTTCACTGCATGGATTAAAATTGTTTTTTAACTCCAGCTGATCTAATGAGTAGTTTCTCATGTCTTAATCAAGAACATGAAAATGTGGTTGTGGACAGGATGTTAGTCTGTGTAAGAAGGGTCAAATCACTGGCATCAAGCAGAGAAAGTATCTATGGAGATGGAGAAACAACCACAGCTGGGTTGAGAACTTTGCAAAGCTTTAATAAAAACTGGAAGGAGAGCGGAGAACCATCGTCTTTGAGGAAGAAATGTGGTCAGATTTACCCTCTTCCACAGTGATGGGATGATGGTTATTCATTACATATTTTATATTCTTTATGTGAGAATTTGCTTGGATTGCCTGTCACTTTGCTGCTGTTTGTGGGACAATAAAGAATATGTTTATGTTTATGTGATGCAGCCATCATGCAGTGTGTCTAATGTACAAGCATGTGGAGCCGGCGCTGTGATCTGGGGCTGCTGCAGTTGGTCAGGTCAAAGTTCAGTAACTAAATGACGATACTGAATGGCCAGATTATTTCATCAATGGATGTTTTCTTCCATGATGACACGGTGATATTTGTACAACACTGGATGGGAATAAATCTGGAGACATTGCAGAAGCTTATGGAGACAACGTCACAGAAAACTGATTTATACTCAAGATTAAAGGCAGTACAATTAAACATTACAATGGGTGATCTTTATTGTTCTGTGTATTAAAATAGGCAGTTATAAGTGTTTTTGAATGGAGTTTCAAGTATTCTGTATTTTATATATTCTACTTTATAATAATTATGCACAATTTTAATGTATTAAGCATAAAAAATCAGATCTGTTTACAAAATTAAACATTTAATCAGCTAGCAGCTTTTTAAATCTGAGCATACGGGGCACAATGCTTTGTTTTTGAGCTGAGCCTTTTAAAATCACTTTCAGACACACTGAACCTTAGATCATAATTACTTTCTATGAATAAAGATTTTTTTCTTTGACATGCCAACTGTTTTAAAAGTAATTAATGAGGGGGGAAAAACTCACTTTACTAATTAAAAAACATGCATAAATCATTCTGTTTGTGTTTGAGAATGTGCACAAATGTGTCCCTCCTTCAGCTAATCCCTGGTCCAAAGGGGCAAAAGACTCTCATTACCTCTAATACCTTTTAGCAAATCAAGATGAAAAGAAACGAAATAGTGGAATACGGCGGACATTAGGGCAAACTTTATTAGACTTAATTAGAGTCAACGTCGCTTATTGGGGAGGTTCACATCCATAATGGTCACTCTGTGCAGAGGAGCAGTGCAAATGATCTCAAAGGCTTTTTCCCCCAGTAATCGCTATCTAACCCGCGCTTTGATGTCGTCTGAGTGCAGCATCTTCAGTCTGAGGGTGCGCTGCGTGTGTTTATTCTGTTTATGGAGCCTAAATAAGCCCTGCCTCTTTTCACCAACAGACCTTTAACAACAATTAGCAAGCATGGACATGGAGCGCCACAGACAGAAGCATAATGAGGAGGATAAGGAGATTCCCCTGCAACTTTTCTCCTCACCCATTCTGCCCAGAGTTACCAGGAACGGCATAAAGAAATCTTCACTGGAACTTATATTTATTTTTGGGGGGCTTTTTTCTCTAAATGTACAGGCAAAGCAAAACGATATTCAACTAGAAGCAGCTTAAAATAAAGTGATAAATTAAGGAAATACATGAGCTAACAAGAATAATAAGAATATTGTTCTCAGTAATGCTTGGACTTGCTGGTTAAGTGGCAAATCTATCTTCTCACAGCTAGTTGTGGTAATCAAACCGGAACGGTAACATGTCATCAAAAATTTAACGCCTTCAGTTTCAGACATTATCTCTGTGATTTACCAAAGATAATCTAACAATGGATTTTGAAATCTGACCAGATTCTTTCAGACTAGTGGAAGCTGAAGTGAAATAACACTGTTCATTATGAGCTCTTGCAAATTTAAAACACCAGAAAACATCTTATCCCTCTCCAGCTACAGTCGCTGTGTGACCGTAGAGATCAATTAACTGAAAAATTAATCAAAATATATGCCAAGCTCATAACAGAAATTACTATCTGTCAATATTCTCTGATTCAGAAGTTGCTGAAACTTAAGTCTCAACATGAATTCTTGATTTCTGGCTTCATGCTGTCAAAAACATGGTCATTTTTCAGGAACCTCCCACATAGAAGTATGGCAGCTTCACATGCTGATTATGTTTAAGATCCACATTTGAAGCACATCTTTATTTACTTCTAGTGGGAAATGGTAATGTAAAGCACAACGCCATTTTACCAGGACGGTTTGCAGATTAGTCAGACTGAAATCACTGCAGAGGCTCAGGAATTTATATATGAGCATAAATGTGCCATCAGAAGCATGTTGCCTTCTCTGAGGCAGCTTTGTGTCATTAAATTAAGCTGCAGGGGGGCTGTAGATCAACCATAAAAGCAGATCAGTTTCACCTTCCTCAATCTTTTCACAACTTTCTCCTCACACAGTGGGAGGCCTATTGGGCAGGAATCATCAGAGCCATATTCATCCTGGGTCATCTGGGCATGCAAACAGTGCTTCACAAGTGCAGTTTATGCAGAAGGTGAAAGGACACATCTGTGAGTCATAACATGATGATGAAGAACAAAAACGAGAGTTTAAAGAGAGACTCCTCAAAGAAAGCCACACCCCATTAAAGCCCTGAATTTTTCATTAGCCATTAAGTAATTACTGCATCATTGCTAACACTTGTCCAGCATAACCTTCACAAGCATTTATTACGGAACAGTTGATGGAAAAACAAGCTTTAAATGCGAGTTTTCTGTCAAACTACTTGCTTTTTCTGCACTATATTTGTTTTCGCTGTTCGGACTCATTGCTTCCACTTTAAAAAAAATAATAAGGTCAACTGGGTGGAGCAAAACAGTTTAATAGCTTGGTTAACAATGGTTTATCCCACAACCTTGCAACAGATAAAAATGTCAGTGTAGAAAAGAGGCTGTGTGTGTGTGAGAGAGAGAACACAGGCCCTGGGATGAAGAGTTTTCCAAAGCACAAGTTTAAAGATTTCAGCTAAGTTTACTTTGCACCAGCCACCCGGGTAAGGAGAGGTCCCTGGGCCAGGAATAGAGGAAATGAGGTGGAGCTGGGCAGAGGCACATAAAGGGAATCAACAGCAACCCCGGCGGACTTCCCTACTCCACGTCTAGGAAAGAGGCCAGACACTCTGCAGCCCCTTGTGGCTTTCTCTGCAGGTCAGATCCAAGGACCCTGCAGGTCTGCAGTGGTCTGCTCACCCCTACGCACCCCGCCCTCAGCCCGTCTACGGCTCGGCTCTGCGCTGTTCTGGTCGCGGCCAGGCAGGAAGGCGGATGGACATCCCTTAACAGGCAGCATTGGCGGCAGTAGAGCTGCTAGCCTTGTAATTAGCTCGGACAGCTCAGGCTTGGAGAGAGGCAGCCGGGCTAGATCATAATGAGCTCAGCTGGGATTAGGAGGACAGGGCAGTGGGGGTGAGCAGAGGGGAGGGCAGCAAGAGAGAGAGGGGCGGGGGGGCAAGTACCAGAACCCAGGCCTCAACCTGCAGCATCACAGAAGGCCAGAGGGAGGCAACTGAGCAGACGAGGAGAAAATGGGGAAGAAGAGGGTACAGAGGCACAGGATGGAGTCGGGGCGACGCGCGGAGAGGTGAAGGTGAAAAGAAGAAGGGAGAAGAAGACAGCAGCTTTAGGCGAAGCTTTCTGGAGCGGTCGGGTTTGAGATGGAGTTACGGATTCTGGATCAAGAACACAGTGGCTAAAAATGTCTCCATACAGAGTGAAGATAAAAACAGCAGTGGAGGCATAATGAAAAGAACATCCAAACACAACGAGAAAGCATCTGGTAAAATGAAAAGACTGACTCATTCAGTCTGTCTGTGTGGAGTAAATAGTTTCAGATTGCCCACAATCCTCTGCAGATCATAAACACCTGGACAATGATACGCCTTTTTTGTTCTACATAAAGACCTCCAACATGTCTGCAGACTGGTCCTGCAGCTCTTTACCTAAGCTGTGGGTTTCCATGATCAGCAAGTCTAAAAATGGGATTGTAAAGTTCTTTGCACCAGCAACCATAATCAATTTCTAAACATTTATTAGGATTTTACTTTAAAGACCAAAACAAAGTAGTTTCTAATGTTCTTAAAATATGGGCTTCATTTGTATTCATCCCCAAAATAAAACCACAGATTCATAAGTTATCAAATTACTTGACAGTTTCCCCTGGCTTTAGAGATTTGCTGTTAAAAATAGCTTATTAACGAAGACCACCATAACTCTGGACAACTATTTTGTGGAGTCCTCAAATCTGGTCTTTGTGGAAGAGGGTCCAAACTGCAGCTGTTGAAATAAAAGGTACAAGAAGCCACATTGGCAAGCCATGCAGGGCAGCGCTCGTCAGTCCTTATCCTCAGAACTTCAAGGTTGTTTCTTTTCTCACTGATTTTGATTGTAAAAACCACAAAACAATCACGAAGTTCTGGAGGGACTGGCTTGTCAGAAAATTGATACAGCACATCACCCTGCATCACCAGCGCTATGCTTATGCTTTTCTTTCCAGCAGCGACAAAAAAACTGCTCAGTTGACTATTTTATAGCTTAAAATAGCCAAAATCAAAGAGTCTGACTTGAAAATCATGTAAGCAGACATCTAGTCAGATTACATCTGAGTCACAAGAAAACTGCAGCTCTAACTGCTATTTGATTCTAAGGTGCTGAAAACAAACATTCAGATTTCTATTTGTGAAAAACTTCTAAACAATTAAACTTTTTCCTTCCTCTTCACCATTTTACATTAACACGAGCTGCTCTGTCAAACAAAATCCCTAAGAAATAAACAAAGGTTTGTCGTTGCAACTTGACAAAATGTGAAAAGTTCAAGAGTGAAAAATATTTTTATCTGACTTCTGGGAATCCAGCTTTACAAATGAAGTTCATGAAGCTCATGGATCCGATGCTGCTGTTGTCTGCTGATGATTATGGACGACATGCATGATGCATGTGTGTGTGTGCGCGCGCGCGTGCGTGTGTGCGCGCGCGCGTGCGTGTGTGCGCGCGTGTGTAAATTTGGGGACTTTATTGCAGTGCTGCCAGTGTTTTTGAATGCAGGCCACTTACTTTTCAGCGGTGAGTTTTCTGTTGAGGTTTTTCATGTAGGCCAGCTCGTTCCACACAGCGTCACTGTTCTCTTGTCGAAGCTGCCACGGCTCTGGGCGCTGTTTCCTTCCACCTGACCTGCACACACACACACACACACACACACACACACACACACACACACACACACACACACACACACACACACACACACACACACAGCTCTGCTCGGCCCCAACTGCATCCAACTCATCAATCAGCCTAAGCGCAACATATTCAATTCCAATTAGGCTTTCATTTACAAACTGAAACAGGATTTAGTGAGAAATCTACAAATTGCAAAAGAAGCTGATGAGAAGACGTTCCTCTCCATCTCACACTCATACGACAGTCTCCCATTTTCGCTCAATCAATGTGATAGAGGTGTGGAAATGGATTGTGAGGGTCACAAAGCTCTCTTTCCTGCGGTCGTTATTGGCGATGAGGACGCCTTCACGCTACGCTAATACTAGTTAAGCCCGGGTACCTGGGAGTTAGAGGCTGCAGTGGAATGGCAAATGTTTTCATTTAATACTGCAACTGCCCCTGTGAGCAATTTGAGGCTACAGGACGACTCTGCGGTGTGTGATTATGGTACGTATGCACAGTTTTTCAGTCAAACGTTGGGGAATGTTTTTCTTATGAAATGAATTTGTAATGTGACGTTTGACATGAAAAGTACACAAAGTCAGTAAAAACACAAGAAATTCTCAGACAACAGAAAATAAGCTTGATAGGTAGCTGCAAAAAAGGCTGAAATGTGTTGCATTGGTGCTGGTTCATGTTGAGTTGTTTGGTCCAAACTAATCCTGTATAAAAACTATCATTACCAAAGTACCAAAAAGCATCTCATGGGCCTGCAGAGGCCATAATCCAGAACAGAAATCACATTATTTCATCATCAACTACTTGTTTTCTGGATGAGGAGTCAAAACAAGAACCAGAGAAGATGTTCAAGAGCCAAAACATAAGGTCAGCAGAAACGGTTTTTAATTTAATAATAGCCTCCTCTATGCTTTGTCACAGCATAAAACTCCACTGTTGAAGGAAAACCACACTGAACCTTTGGAAAAATTAATATAACTCAAACACAGTCTTCTCATGTGAGACCGTTTGGATGCACCATGCAGAGAGGACAAATGGACACCAACCCACAGCAACTTCACACTCAGAAGGTGAGAACATCCAGTCAGGATGTTTGTCTCGCATATCATACTACAACACTTCTTATAGTCGAACGTTTGACACCAACGTGGTTTTAGACAGTGGTGGATGCCAATAACTAAAAAGCTACACTAACCCTGATAGAAAGGTTTAAAATCAGAGTAGCAATGCCTGCAGGTCAGTAAGCGTGTTCAAGACTTAATCCCTTTGTCATTCCTCTTTATTACACACATGTTTGTTTGGTTTTAATTATGAGAATGGCCATTTTGTGAGGATTTTATGTGAACAGCCTCATTAGAAACACATTTACAGAGAAACCCGTTGATGGAGGATAGAGCTTTAAAAGTATCGAGACCACCTGCTGTTGTGAAAGTAAATGATAATTTATTCACAGCTCTGTTTTAATTCTTTCTGTGTGACTTCTAATGGAACAACGGCAGTTATTAGGGAATATGCACAAAGCATTCCTAACTGACGGTAGATCTGTAGGAACTGTAATCTGTTTACAGTGCGCCTTAAAGCTGTTGAACACGGAGCCAGGAGAGAGTGATGTTTCTCTGGCCTCGGAGCTCGTTCCCTCATGGCCGCCCAGTTTCCATTATTAAGCAGGAGGAGATAGAAAGAACTTTTCCACGCTGCTGCGGCTAATTGCTCTGAAACAGGGGGAATCTGTTTATGGGCGCAACTTTGATCAGTGTGCGGATGCTTTAATAACCTTTAATTTTATTTGCTCACCCTCATCATCCCCAGTCTGATTAAAAAAAACTTCTTTAATATAAATAAGAACTTGATTTTTCTCTCTCCTTCATGTTATTTCGAGGAAATCTGGTGATACAGTAATAGTAAATGGCAGGGTGGTTTCAGTGGGACTGGCCCACCGCACACCGCATGCATGCTGATAAGACCATTGGTATTATTTCTGATTCCTGATATGTGTTTCCAGGCTGGTAACTGCGGTTACTCGTGTTGTCAAAGCAGATATATTTCTGTATTAAAAAAAAAAAAAAAAATACCTGTACAGGTTTAGGGATTGTAAACTATCAGAATACCTTCAAGAGGATAACTCAACAAAGAGTGTGGCTGATGTTGATTGGCCTCATTCGCATGGGTCAAAACTGGGTCAAAAATTTGGAGTAAGTCCAGAGGAAATGGGAAGAATTACGGAACGAAAACTCAAAGGCAAAATGAAATAAAACGAGAACAAAGAGGCAGGAACAGCAGTCGAGATGCATTTCCAACTTACTGCAGGTACGAATTTCTGCAGTGAAAATCCAGAAGTATACGAGTTCATCAAGGATTAAACGCTGAGGCAAAATAAGCAGAGCAGCAATGAGGCGCATGTTTACTCATCTGCTCAGGAGTTAAGGCATGTTACCAAGCTGACTGCAGCTGATTACCAAAGAAAATATGATCACCAGAAACTCAGAACCTGAACAGGGCTGCTGCTGAATACATCTGTATGGAGCAGATATATGTCTACACTTAAAAAAAGCAATTTCTCAATTAATAGCACAACTAAATCAAGGAATATACTTTCATATATTCAGTTAAACCCAAAAACACTTTTTTCACCCAGAAGGGAAATTAAGTCTTGTCAAAACTCATGTCATCCAAGTACGGAGGTTGATGCTGTGGGGAGAAAGGATCTCCAATAGCAGTCAGTCCTGCAGCCAATCTAAAGAGGCCTCTGACTGAAGGCGGTTACTGTATGACAGGCTCATGACGGTCATGAGATGCGAACAGCTAAATTTCTGGGAAGCAGAGTTGTAAACAAAAAACAACAATAAAAAACAAAACCTCGTCATGAATCATAACAGAAGCTAAACAGGGAAGGGCAAAAACATTTCTAAATAAAGAAGAAATAATTGTCAAAAATAAAACGCCTTAACCAAAGAAATGATTAACCAAAGTCTTCAAACGAATCAATCAGAACAAACGTTACAGAGCTATTCCAATTATTATGCAAATATATTTTTTTAAATCAGAACTCTAAGTATCTGTCTTGAAAATGAAAATGCTATCAAACCAACAAACCATGTTTTCAGTCTCTGTATCAGCTTTGCAGTTTTAGTACCGTATAACTGGGTTCCTGAAGAGTGACGAGTGAGTCCATTTGTCAAACACAGAGAGGCCTAACTATCTGCTCAAACCTTCCCGCAAGCGACAGCAGCAACAGTTTCTACTTTCAGTCCTGCACAGAACAAAAAGGGGAACAAAATCAACTCTTGAGCATCTTTCCAAAAAGGCAACAACACAGCAGGGAAGCTACAGGAAGATCCCTAACAAGCTCAAAATGCAATGAGACTGTGCGCCGATCCCCACTGACTTGTTAGGGCCCTGATTTCCTCACACTAATGGGAGTTTTTAAATCATTTTCTATTGTCTCTCATTCAGGCTAGCATCACCCCAGTGGGTTTAATGGCTGTTTAAGAATGTGGCTTAATGCCAAATGAATGCCAAGATCATAACACGGAGTGAGTGGCTGCTGCCCTGGAAGGTTCTGACTGAAAAGGGCAAAGCTGCCTAATATATCAATATCACGTCAAAGCAGTTTGGAAATACAGAAACACTGACAGCAAACCCCAAAACCTTCCATACACGTAAATAAAAACACAGAGAAAAGTAATGTTTTACTTTCACTTCATCAGAGATAGTGTTCGCTCTTAACCGTTGCTGTGATAACCTGCTAAAACGTGCAGCGGCAGTGTTCCTGGCGTTGACGTTCCCCCTACGTCTCTGTCTCAGACACATGCTAAGAGCTGCAGTGAGCCAACATGAGCCGAGTCAAGCCCAGGGCTGAACGTGCTTCTCTCGCTGGCTGCACTTTCACACGGGCTCACATTGCACCGCTGTTTTCTTTAATTAACCCGGAGAGAAAACAGCTGACAAAGTTAACACTTGGCTCCCTCGTGGCCACCAAATATACACATCTTTACCTACACTTTAAATGGTCTCTGTGACGACGGGTTGCAGAGAGAAAAAAAAAGGAAAAAAAGTGATAAAAGGCATGGAGACAAAAGAGAAAATGAGACCATATGTTAATGACATTTTGCAGAATATTTTCCACTTTTGTGTAAAATAAATCCTGTGGTTCCTGCTGGAGATAACAGGTTGAAGCAGGAAATGGCCGTCTAGCCTCCTTCCCCCGCCCTCCGCAGGCCTTCTCAAACACCTTGCACCCCCAGGACCAGACACCTCCAGCCTCTGGCTCTCACATCTTAATGAACGCTGAGGGAGGAGAGACGCAGAAGCACACATACGCTCGGCACAAAACGCACCAAATTGACTGGCCTTAAAACCTCTGAGCTTTTCAAAGGCAAGAGGAAGAATTCCTCCTACTTTCCTAAATCCAGCACTGCAGTCTTGTCAGACAGCTTGTGGAGAGAAATGGGCCCTAAGACAATTTGTGAAGGTGAAGTTAGAGTGAGTTAGGTGTTTCTGCTGGGTTGAACCAGAAGTCATTCTTGTTGCATTGTGTTGGGACCAGTGTTAATGTTTCTGTCACCTCTGGGTAATGAGACCTTCCAGATGCTGAGCTGAACTTCGTACTCACAAGCCACGTGATTTCTCCATCTCCTTCATCTGATCTCGGATGGTCTTGTAGTTGGTTTGGACTAGACACAGACGTTCACGGCGTTTATCGTGAGCCTTCCTTAGCTCCTCGTTCTCGCCGCTCTGCAAACACAAAGGACGAAACAGTCTGCTGCTTTCAGGAAGATAAAAACAGCAAAGCTTTCAATTTGAACCATGTACAGGAACTCTGGGAAGCATTTAACTGTTTCACATCTTGGCTCATTTCAACCACAAACAGGGATTTAATGTCACAGAGCAACAATAAGTAGCTCTAAAATCCAAAGAAAATTAGACTTTTTTTTCGATGTCAATGTCTTGTTTGACCAGAAACACATAAAGCCAATTACAAAGTCAGCCTTTTATCACCTGAAGAACATTTCCAGATTTGAAGGACTAATGTCGCAGCAAGACCTAAAGAAAGTCAGCAATGCGTTTATCTTTAGTTGCATTGATTACAGCAATATTGTCTTTACAGTTCTGCCTGAAGAATCAATCACACACCTACCGCTGATCCAGAATGTATGTCAATGCCAGGCAGACCAAACACCACTCTAAAAGCAGGAAGTGGACTATAACATAAGGGATTATGGGTAAATACAATCAAAATAAACGCACCAGACTAGTGGAAGATACGGCTCATGGTTTTACATGAAATGTCAGAAATCCTCCAGCTGCTAAAATCTAATGCCACGACATTTTTGTTTGGATTTCCTGATGAAGGAAGATGCGCTCAGTGTCTTCTTCAGAGGCTTTTCTGTCGTTTCCTGGCGCAGTGCCCCCACAGGCGAGGAGGCGAACAGGTTGTTGAAGTTCAGTGTAAAGCAAAATGCAGCAGCTGAAAATATAACAAATGTTGCAGCTTTTGTCCCCAATCGAACTGAGTCTACCAAACTATCAGGTCGAAAACCTGTAGTTTAGGGGGTTTAAGCAGAGAAACTAAAACAAGGCTGGTATGCACACTTTAAACAATCAGAGAAATGTAGTGGAGTTACAAGCTGATGCCCTGGAAGGGCAGCGGTTCTGATGCTGACATTGTTGTTGACAGCTATTAAAATCGCTCCAAGTTCGGGCTCCTGAGCTGCAGAAGGAGCGTGAGAAGACAACGTATGGATTTTTCTTGTCAGCGTTCCCCCTCCTCCCCATCACGCTGACCTTAACAACGAGGGCAACCGAGAAAATACTTTCAGCCTACATGACAGAGCTGAGGGGAGAGTAAAGGAGCGGGGAAAGTCGGCTCATAAAAGTGGAGGAAAGAGTAAGACGGAAAACAGAGAAATTAGAAACGGAAGAGGGAGAGAGAAAAGGAAAAGTGAGCGGAGAAGTGCAGGACAGGTTTCTGCTTGAGTGGCCAGGGCTGGCGAGAGTTGTCGAGAGCTTTCTGAAGGGGAAGGAGCTTGTTTACTGCTGATATGACACGGCTACCCTGCAGAGAGGGAAATGCAAGCCCTCAGCCCTGTTATTATTAACAAGGACAAAGAGAACAGAGAGAGCACACAAACATGCGCCGGACACACAACAACATGCAATGTGCATCTACGCTGACAATGTGACAAGTATGGATTTTCCCCCAGTGTGGATTATTCACAAAGGACATCTGCCCCCCCGCTTTCAAAAACAAGGCTCTAATGAAAGGGGCCAGGCCAGAGCACTGCAGGGCTGGGAGTAAGCAAGTGGCAGGGCATTAGCCACATCATGGCTTCCCAGGCTCCTAACTGAACTCCCCCGGGCCGCTGCGCTCTGGTCATCAGACCCTCGCCCTCCGATCGATACACACCCGTGGACGATCAAGCCGAAAAATAATTACACTCAAACAAGTACTTTTCACTTTAAACTGAAGGAAAGGAGACATAAAAAAAGAAGTGAGTGTTAAGAGAAGTGTTTGTTTGTCTCCTGTTAATAGCCGAGGTCGACGTGTCAGCAACCGGATCCGATGCAAAAAGATGAGAAATGAGAAAAGAGCCGACAAGATACCAGCTAAAAGGACAAAACCTCTTAATCCCACCCTGAACTAATGCCCTCATTAATGCGGTTACATTTTTCTGTGCATGCCTTCACTAAACGCTCTTCAACTGGTCGACAACTAAATGGCACCATTAACCAAGACAGTCATGCATGCTGGCTGAATTTACATTGGGCATTAGCTGTCTGCTGGTGATGTAATTCAGGTGCTTCTCATCTGACAAGGAAATGATGCCTGATGTATTTCTGAGGATTGTGCTCAGAGCGAAGACGACCTTTGTTTAATCAGTCAGTCACTGTCCAGCTGCGAAGGTGGAGAGGATGAAGAACCAGAGAGTTGAAATAAAAACAGGGAAATGTCCTGTGTTGCAATTACAAGTACGGAAATCAAACTGTTAGACTGTAAAAGACAAAAACTGAGTATAGGAGTTGATGAGAGGAAGACCTGAAGGTTAAGAAAGCAATAATTTGCTAAAGGAGGATAAAACCATGCTGCTGCTTCTGCTTTCACTGGACGAGCTTTTCTCTTGTCATCTCCCTAAACCGTCACTCTGGGATGAAACGATTAAACAGATTAATTGTGATTAATCGATTATTGAAATAATGGCAAACTAATTTAATAAATCATTAACTGGAGTAGACAGACTCTGAAACATTCCATTTACTGAAATCACTGCAATTAAACCAAAACTGTATAGAAAGCTAAAAACCAACCTGTTTAAAGAGCTGCTTTCAACCCAGAATCACTGGATCATTGATCAACATATTTGATGTGTATTGATGATTTTGATTATGGAACTTAATATAATATAATGTTATTAGTTTCTCAAACTGGTGACTTTTTTATGGCTTTTTATTTTTATGTTTTTGTGATGTAAAGGGCTTTGACCTGCCTTGTTGCTAAAATGCGCTGTACAGATAAACTGGACTGATTAAAGAGCCGCCACATGTGGCCTAGCAGCAGCAGGGTCAACCTCACTTCCTCACTAAAAAGGGAAGCTGTGTCGATTCACAGTCGCTCTCTGAATCCCTCTGAAGCTAAGCTAGGAGCGACTCTTTGAGAATAGGGCCCTTAATGGTAAAATTTTACTCCGTTCTTCCTGGCAGAACCCTTAAAGCTCTGGGACCGGCGATGAACTGCGCTTTTCAAGTCCTGCCACAAAGTCTGGATGGGAAAAGGAGGAGTGAATGCTCTCAGTCAATGACTCGATGCGTTCTGTTGAGTTTCCTTAGCTCACTGGTAACAAAGATCCTATTTTTATTTTTTTATTTTTATAATTCCCTGCTATGTGTCAACGCAGCGCTGGTTCATCCCCTGCGTTTAGGAGCGCTTTAATGCCTCCGGACTTTTTGCACAGAGCTGCTTGTGCTAAAATATTTAGTCAGTGGTTACCTTGAGTTGCAGCAGCTCCTCCAGGTCTCGAATTCTTTGTTCTGCTTCGATCCTCCTCCCACTTCCCAACCCCACGCTGCCGGCTGGGGACAGAGACCTGGACCGCTGCACAGGTGCACCCTGGGAGAAGGCGAGCACAGGAAGCAGTGAGCTGAAAACTTCACTTACAAAGACATCCACCAACCCATGCAGCAATTAACATGTGTGGAAACGCTGAGTGAATGCCAATAACAGAATCATCTGCGTTCATCCCGTTCCCTTCTCACCTCGAGGAAAAGGCGAACATCGCCCGGCGCCCGTAACGCACACACGCACAAACAAACACGCTGCCAGAGGAGCGAGGGGAGCCGGTGCAGCAGTCGGCGCACATCTGTGTGTGTGTGTGTGTGTCTGCATGTTTGGAGGCAGCAGTTGCAAGCTGAGAGCGGCGAAGGTTTCTCCCTGCAACTGGCTAATGAGTATGTTCATTTCCATTTACATTGTTTCTTTGACAATAATGATGTCCCATTAGGGGAGACTAAAGGGGCTATAGATTCCAGAATGTGCTGGGCTTCATTACAAGAGGTGGGCAGGGAGGCCGCTCTAATTGCTCTACGAGGGGCCTCCAGGTTACACTTGATAGGACAACTGGAAGAGCTGCCGATTAGGAGGGGGGTGCGGTTCACTAGCCAGTCTCTTCTGCAGAAATAAATAAAGAAACGGAGAAGCGCTGGGGCCGTGCTGTACAAAAGCAGTGGGAACAATATGCTAGTGGAATATGAATATGAGAGGATGGGAGGCCCCATGCGGTGCCAAGGAGGGCTGACCAGATGGCAGGCTAAAATATGCAATGTGACTAAATGCCCAACAGTCCTTGGGCAGAAGAGGATGAGGAGCAGAGGAGAAAGTGAGGAGGTTAACGATGAGATTGTGTACAAGTTCAACTCGTCGGCCAGAATCGGGTTTAAATCAAAGCTTCAAAGTTCTTAAAGTTACTGAGCAGAAAGAGGCAGTGGATTCTTCATCACCACTGTGGTGGAGAAATACAGCGGCCTGCAAAAGTTTTCAAACCTCCAGGTTCTTCAAAGTTATTCCAACAAATTTTAAAGGAGCAACATTATGTAAAATCGACATTTTTGAGCTTTTCTTCATGTTATGATATTATTGCCTCATCAAAGCATACCTGAAGTGGTGCTTTGATTCTTTCATGCATGTTTAAGAAAACCAGTAATCTCCATGGCAACCACTCAGCTGTGCAAAATGCCTGGGTGGACCCAGCCCCACCTTTAAGCCCTTCCCCACTCAGCTCCTTCAGACTAGCCAGCAGCAATTAGCAGAAACCTGGTGGCTCTATTACAAATCAATTACCGATGTGTTTAGATGCGTCTCTCTCCTAAATGAAGCCACTAATAGAGCTACCATTTCTATTAATGTTTTACTTTTCTTTCAGATGGAAAGTACTCCTGGATTTTTTTGTGTGCATTCCCTGGCCGCTCACACTGAACCTGGTTCTGCTTCTGCTGGAGGTTTCTTCTTGTTAAAGGGAAGATTTCCTCTCCACTGTTGCTGCAAAGTCAACAATACAATTCCCCTAAAGCTTATTTATTTGCAGCTAATGCCTGGCTATCTGTTAATGCTTATGTCTGTACACGGTTAAATTTCTCGTTTGTGCACACAATCCTGGCCAGTGAAGCTGTTCTGATTCCACAAACAGAAATCTTTTTAACCTGTTTCAATAATCACCTGAACTTAACTACATTGTTTGATATGGAATGTAGGGTCCAGTTTGGTAAAAGGCTGAACTGACTACAAGTCCAGTATGTAGCTAAACCCTCATACCATAAACTGAATTCTTTATTTATGGTTCAACAAGAAGTGAAAATTGTAGATTTTCTAATAACAAGACTGTATTTGTTAAATCAGGTGTTACTGTTTCAGCATTTCTTTTTAAAATATCTTTGTATAACGCTGATTTTCATAATGTTTGGGAATGTACCAGAAGTTGACTCTGGTGACCTGCAGTGCCAGGTTCTGCGAACATGCCTGCGTGGGTACCAACCATGTGTTCTGACTTAATGACTTCATGCAACCAATTAGCAGATTGATCTGCATATTCCTGACAAGTGGCGGGCCAACTGGCTTAGCCTTCAAGTACAACAGGGAAAACACAGACGCCAGGAAAGAAAATCCAAACCTAATCTTTAAAGAAGAGATGACCAATTATAAAGTCTAGGAGAGTTTTTATGCAGCGTGGTTCTGCGGTGTAAAAAGTCTTTGACCCTGTACAGATGTAATCTGACTTTGCTTTTCGGTTACATGTTTCAGAACAAAGAAATTTTATTTGCAGACAGACAACTGGAGTAAATACACGAAAACTGTTTTTAAGTAATGGTGCAAGTTAAGAGCCAACCAGTGTTTATTGGTGTCTTTGCTGAATTGTTTTATTTTATTCAACATTTATGGGGATTTTGCTTGAAGTCGGCCCATGGCATCTCCATTAGATCTAAAACTTTGACTATACCACTTCCTTTTGTCATTTCTGAGAGCACGGTAGAGAGGAGAATTCATTGTTTCATGTTCTGGTCTGAACCGTCACACTACCACTAACATGTTTGACATTTTCCAAAAGTTTTCACTTTTGTCTCGTCCATCCACAGAATATTTCCCAATAGATTTGTTGGTCATCAAGATATTTTTTGGCAGATTTGAGTTGCCAAATGTTGATGGCCAACCACTTCTGGGAATGTTCACCATTCGTTTCTTGTGTTTTCCATTTGTGGATAATGTTTCCTACTGTAGCTCTCTGGAGTCTCAAAGTCGTAGAAAAATCCTTTGTGACCCTTTCCAGGCTGATAGATGTCTACTTCGTGTTGTCAGACAGGTTCTATTGAATTCATTTTTGATTCATCAGGCCTGGCGGTATTTGACTCAGTTTTCCAAAAGTTGAGCTTAATTCAAGCTTTTATCTTCTTACATTGGGAAAGGTTTGCTTCAATGGCCTTTTTTAAGTAAGCCAAGTAAGACCCAGTGTTGAAATATCACATCTATATTTCAAACAAAGCAAAAGTACAAATGTTAATTTTTCTACTTTATTTTTTTTAAACCAAACAAAAAGACTGAACTACACTGTTCAGTCTTGGAATGTTATTGGACAGGAAATTTGCATTTAATTTCACAAAACATGATCATAAAATGGAAAACCTGCCTCTGAAGGTCTCTGAGATTCAGTGCACCAGAATAATCAAAAAGTAGTTAGTAAAATGTCTTCTCGATTTCTGTTGTGATCATTATAATGTCAAGAAAATGTGTACAAATCAGGGTTTCTGCAGGATGCACCAACTCAAATTTAAGACTTTTTAAGACCACTATGAATGAAATTTAAGACCTACATCAAGATATTAAATGTACAAAAAGAAAACATACATTTTAAGCTAGTTAGCAGTAGCCTTAACCCAGTCAAACCTTTGCTTGACAGAAAAATTCAGCAAGGAAAAAAATTAATTCATAGAATACATGAGATTTAATAGTTATGAAATAGCAAAACTAAAGACTTGGGATTAATATATTTACAGCCAATGTATTTACATTTTTTGTATAAATTTAAGAGATTTAAGGCCTTTATTTTAGATAAATGAATACATGAATATGGTGCATAATTTTTGTGCAAGACTTTGACAAAATGGAAAATTGAACATGTTTATGTTGAATTAATACTACATGTTCAAAATACCTTACAAAAAAAAAAAAAAATCTCCAAACTACTTTTCTAAAGATTGAATAAAATTTTTTCTATGTTCAGGGCTTCCAGTTTGCAACAATGAAGCCATCATTGAAAACATTTTGCATTTACTAAGTTGTTTTTGTCTGGCCTTCAAATGTGGTGATCTGAAACGTTTAAATGTGATAAAATAATAAAAACTAAACAGAAGAATCGGGACTGAAACGCTCCAGCAGGTTTGCTGAAATATGACAGGGCAGCACTGATGGGTGACTGAGCTGTGATGCTTTGAGCTCCACAAGGCAGACAGGAAAGAAAAAAAAAGGTCTGGCCTCTGTTCTTCAGATAAACACTGGTTCTGGGCATGACCTGACCCGGGCTTAGAATCGGGTAACGGATGCATAAACAACACAGGGTCGCGCAGATCAATCTGTGTAGGGCGAACAATGAAGAAACATGGAAAAAAGGTCTAAAGCTAAACAGTTTACAAGCAAGCAGAGGTGAAGCTGTTCTTCAGAAGGGCTCAGTGTCACTGGATATGAAACATTTTATCAACTTCCTTTCTTCACGCTCCCTCTTTCTCTCTCCAGCTTTCAGAAACTCGGGTCACCGTCATCTGTGGACTTCTTTATGTCTGCAGCAGCATGTCATGGGTCAATGGGGAGCACTTAAAATAGTTCTGTTCTCTCAGGGAATATAAAAGTTGTATAAATCTGCACAAAAGTAATAAAAATAAATAAAAAGCACTAATCTTTTCACAAAGCAAAGTCACAACTGGAAGAACTCAAGAGAAAGTAGTAGGATTTATGAAAACGTAACAGGAAATCTCACTAAAATACAATCTCTTCTGATTGAAAGCAATTGCAGTAAATTAAAATATCATCTTTGTGCCCGAGTTCCTAAAGATCAGATGTGCAGGAGTTTCCAGCAGAACCTTGTAGGAGAAGCAGTATCATTATATTCCTCATATAAAAACAAGTAGAGAGGTGCTTCATTTAAGACATAATGAGGACATGTGAATAAATCAGGCACTGTTTCTTAAGGCCATCCCTTAGTGAGTGAGGCCATCTAGAAACTTGTCCTGCCAAACTTATGAAAGGGATACTGAGAAGATCAAAAGCTTCTCTTCTCGCTCATAATGTACTGCTGAAGCGGTAAATTAGCTGGTGTCTGAGCCCAAGGCATGCGTGAAACCAGCAACACACGCCGGCCTGGTCACAGTAGGAGGGGCCTCCGTGTGTGTGTGTGTGTGTGTGTGTGTGTGTGTGTGTGTGTGTGTGTTGGGATGTCCGGGACAAAGGTTGTCCTGGACTGGATCTGATGAATCACATGGCTCTGTCTCAACAGACCGTTCTCTTTCCATCCCTCTGCTACGGCTTTGATCTAATCTGAGCAAATGGCGTGGGCATGCTCAGCCACGTGCTGCCTTTGCTGTAATTGTCGGTGGTGTTCGTTGGCCTACCTGCAGTCTTTTCACACTGCTGGGGGATCGCTGAGGGAAATGTCTGTCCTCTGGCCTTGGATCTGAACTCTGAGTGGAGGCCCGATCGGACGGAGCAGCGGCGAATTGCTGGAAGAAAACAGAGGCTGTGACCTTTATATTAGCAAAACATTCAGACAGGCGGTTTCAACTTCTCTTTAATAAAATTAAATACTATAGTTTACTACTTGTGGAAACTAAAACAAAGTCTGAGAGAAATATGTGTAATCCCTGAATCACATGGCAAGATTTTTGTCCTGATTTTTCACTTCCAACATTCTTAAAAACACTGTGACGGTCCTAAAGATAATCTTAAGAGATTTTCCTGCTGTGTGTTGAAAGTGATCTGGTCCACTCAGAACAACATCAGGACCATTTCGATATAAAATCAGGGATAATCAATATTGGATTGTCTTGTTGGTGTTTCCGAGGAACGCTGCAGCCTGTTGAATGCGACTCGTAGCCAATCAGGAAGCGAAGTGATGGAAACACAGAGAGGAATCCAAAATACAAAAGACAGAACTGCTGTCCCAAAAGGCCGGTCGACGTTGGTGAAGTCTTTGTATTGTTTTTTTTGTTTGTTTTTGCTAAATACATTCCAGAAACTTATCGCCATTGCTTCTTCCCAGTCAGTCATGTTTGATTTCTCTGAACTCACATTTGACCTCGAGAGGTGTTGCAAGATTTTCAGTTTGACATCCAAAAGTTGGTGGATGAAATCTGTGTGTGTTTCTCTCTCCCATATACTCCATGCCCTGAAGGTCCTCCCAAGTTTCATCTGAAGCATCGCCATCAGCTCTCATTGATGTAATCACGTAATGAGAATTGTGCCATTTGGTTCGCAGGAAGGTGTCGTCCTCCTCTTCTCAGATCGAACCATTTCTCTGTGCAAAGTGTTGTGTGATTGGTCAGAAATCTGTGGGCATGTTTTATGCCAGGGGTGTCAAACTCAATTTCACCAAGGGCCACTTCAGCATATTGGCCACCCTCAACGGGCCACATTGACGGTACAAATCAGGAGTGCATACCTGCTAAAACACACCCCAGACAAAAGGTTGACTTCCCTCATTCAGTTCTGTAGAGGCTTATAATGAGTCAATGGTCCAGGTGTGTTAGAGAAGGAATGCATCTAAAGTTGCAGATGGTAGCTCTGGAAAACTAGACTTGGGCACCCCTAGCATAAATGTATGAAAATACAATGTTAAAAATAAATTAAACACCTCATATTGTTAAATAAATGATTTTATGTATTGAACTTTTAAATATTACATTTGAGTTTCCATGGATGTAAAATTACTGCTCAGTTTAAAAATTACAATATTTAAATCAGTGTTTAAAGGTAAGCAAACAAATAATAAAAACAAGTCACATGGGCGGACATTATAGACTCAATCAATTAATTAAAAAAAATCCTTTCTGAATATCATCTCATGGTCTGAACTAAATGCGTCTCTGACCGGAGCTGACAGCGTGTTGAAGAGTTATGGACCGGACGCTTTGGAGCGTCTGGTTAGGAAGCGCATTGCAAACCTTTGGTTGAAATGTTTTGTAGTCAATTTGTGCTCAAAACCTATTTTAAGTCAATCATTGGCCTATAAAATGCTGGGGGGCCACATGTGGCCCATGGGTCTTGAGTTTGACACATGTGCATTACACCATTGAACTGCCAATTGGTAATTAAAGTAAAGTAGCTTCGATTTCAACGAAGCCGATTGGCAAATGAACCATCATGAAAGAGGAAGGCTCTTGTCTCACTGCACCCCAAGAGATGCATAACTGACAAAAACCATTTC